GACTATGTTAATTGCCTCGTCATTAAGCCAACATTNCATAAGTACCGACACGCCAATCCATTGCACCAGAACCGCAATCAGAGAGAAAAAGTTGACACTTGATCCATAGGTTTTGGCCCCCACACGACAACTTGTTCTAGTTCATAACAGAAACCTCCAGCTGTGGGTCCTGCAACCTTTTTTTAACAGTTTTAATTACAATAATATTGTTCGACTATGTTAATTGCCTCGTCATTAAGCCAACATTTAGGTCTTAATAGGTTGCTGATTCTTAACATGGGTATATTGGTCATTCGACAAACAATTGTAAACTGGAGAAAATTCTCATGCCTAAATTGTCATTCGTCGAACCGTCCAATAATAACTATATCTAAACTAGTCTATGTAAATTGTGGTGGAAGTCCCACAACTTCTCTTCGACGTCTGTCTTATAACCACTTGAATGCATAATAGCTGATTCATCAAAAAAATAATTGAAAAAAAAATATATTAAAATAAATTTCACTCTCAAAATTATTTAACAAAAGCTACACGTAGGAGTGTTCAAATTTTGATTTGTCGTAATTTCCGACTCAATTCTATCTTACCCTACTGAACGGCTAGTCGCAAAAATCGGGTAAGAATGCGGAAGAGTATTTGGTCTTCCGATTAAATCGGGCAGGAATGCAGAATACCCATCAATTTCCGCATTCCTATCCTACCCTACTCGGAAAAAATAAATTAAATTTTTTATATTTTTTTTAGTAATTATAAGAGTATTTGTGTGATATAATTTANTGTCTTATAACCACTTGAATGCATAATAGCTGATTCATCAAAAAAATAATTAAAAAAAAATATATTAAAATAAATCTCACTCTCAAAATTATTTAACAAAAGCTACACGTAGGAGTGTTCAAATTTTTGATTTGTCATAATTTCCGACCCAACTCTATCTTACCCTACTGAACGGCTAGTCGCAAAAATCGGGTAAGAATGCGGAAGAGTATTTGGTCTTCCGATTAAATCGAGTAGGAATGCGGAATACCCATTAATTTTCGCATTCCTATCCTACCCTACTCGGAAAAAATAAATTAAATTTTTAATATTTTTTTTAGTAATTATAAGAGTATTTGTGTGGTATAATTTATATTATAACATTGTTACTGTTGTAGATGTTTGAGTTGCGAAAATTTGAACTTGTTTTTTGTGTAGGTTATATGATTTGTGGTGAACTAGTGAACTATTTGAGCAGTTATGATTTTAATGTATTTCATATGGTTTAAACTTAAAATAATTGTTTGTATTTGTGTAATAATTATGATGGATTGATGTTCATGCTTTCTTATGTTTTATTATAATTGTTGTTGTAGTTGTTTTAGGTTTTAGTGTTATTGATTTATTGTGTTGTTAAATTGGTACATGTTATTTAATTGAATTGTTAAAATGATCCAAAAATTAATAACTACAAAAATGTTTACCCGACTTCCTACCTGATTATTCGAGTAGGAAGTCGGATAGGAATACAACACCTGATCGGATAGGGTAGGTCAAGAAAAAATTCTTTCACAAAATATTGGGTAGATAAACGAAAGACAATATTTCTTACCCATATAATAGGGTAAACACCCCTAGCTACACGTATGCTTTTGGGTATCAAACTTGGTATATTAACAAAGACAGCACATTTCCATGTTTTTTGTATTTCTTAAATGGNTATTTCATATGGTTTAAACTTAAAATAATTGTTTGTATTTGTATAATAATTATGATGGATTGATGTTTATGCTTTCTTATGTTTTATTATAATTGTTGTTGTAGTTGTTTTAGGTTTTAGTGTTATTGATTTATTGTGTTGTTAAATTGGTACATGTTATTTAATTGAATTGTTAAAATGATCCAAAAATTAATAACTACAAAAATGTTTACCCGACTTCCTACCTGATTATTCGAGTAGGAAGTCGGATAGGAATACAACACCTGATCGGATAGGGTAGGTCAAGAAAAAATTCTTTCACAAAATATTGGGTAGATAAACGAAAGACAATATTTCTTACCCATATAATAGGGTAAACACCCCTAGCTACACGTATGCTTTTGGGTATCAAACTTGGTATATTAACAAAGACAGCACATTTCCATGTTTTTTGTATTTCTTAAANATGATAGATCAAAAAAAAATTCTTTCACAAAATATTGGGTAGAAAAACGAAAGACAATATTTCTTACCCGTATGATAGGGTAAACACCCCTAGCTACACGTATGCTTTTGGGTATCAAACTTGGTATATTAACAAAGACAGCACATTTCCATGTTTTTTGTATTTCTTAAATGGGTGAATTACACTTTATACTTTAAAAAATTTTATACTTTTATTTTGTACATTCAAAGATAATTTTTTTTTTATTATACCCTTAATGTATTAAAAGTGTTACAATATGGTCATTCTATTAGTTTATGTTATTTTCTTTTTCCGTAAAAACCTTCCATTTACATTGAAAGAAAAAAAATAACATAATCTAACAAAAAAGTCACAGTACAACAATTATGATATATTGAAGGTCAATATAAAAAATTTAATATTTAGAAATATAAAATAATTTTTTTTTTAAATCTTTGAAGGTACATAGTATGATTCTCCCATTCTTAAATTTAGTCTATTTGCGAAGAAAGAGGACACTGCTGCATTGAGGGGTTCATAGACGCCGAGAAATTTGCGGAATCAAACTTAAATGACAGTCGTCGATTATTACTTCCACCTCCAGCGTCGGGCTGTAAGTCTTGCCGTTGACGCCANTTAAATCTTTGAAGGTACAGAGTATGATTCTCCCCTTCTTAAATTTAGTCTATTTGCGAAGAAAGAGGACACTGCTGCATTGAGGGGTTCATAGACGCCGAGAAATTTGCGGAATCAAACTTAAATGACAGTCGTCGATTATTACTTCCACCTCCAGCGTCGGGCTGTAAGTCTTGCCGTTGACGCCANTATTATACCCTTAATGTATTAAAAATGTTACAATATGGTCATTCTATTAGTTTCTGTTATTTTATTTTTCCATAAAAATCTTCCATTTACATTGACAGAAAAAAAATAACATAATCTAACAAAAAAGTCACAGTACAACAATTATGATATATTGAAGGTCAATATAAAAAATTTAATATTTAGAAATATAAAATAATTTTTTTTTAAAATCTTTGAAGGTACATAGTATGATTCTCCCCTTCTTAAATTTAGTCTATTTGCGAAGAAAGAGGACACTGCTGCATTGAGGGGTTCATAGACGCCGAGAAATTTGCGGAATCAAACTTAAATGACAGTCGTCGATTATTACTTCCACCTCTTAGCGTCGGGCTGTAAGTCTTGCCGTTGACGCCAATTTTGTATCTTATTACCAATCTGCCTTCCCAACTGAGAGCAACATCATGTAGATTTTCGTTTTTACCCCTCTCTAGTTGACACCATATTAAGTGCACTTGCCCAAAGACATTTAAAGCCAAAANATGACAGTCGTCGATTATTACTTCCACCTCCAGCGTCGGGCTGTAAGTCTTGCCGTTGACGCCAATTTTGTATCTTATTACCACTCTGCCTTCCCAACTGACAGCAACATCATGTAGATTTTCGTTTTTACCCCTCTCTAGTTGACACCATATTAAGTGCACTTGCCCAAAGACATTTAAAGCCAAAAGCTTTTAAAACCTTATTGCAAACTCCTCACATTGTCATTTTCTCCAATCACAAGCTTTTTAATAAACATTATTCAATAATAGTATTGAGACCTAAAAAATTAGTATAATATCACGATCTAATAATGTGACAAGGGTTATGATTCTACTAAAAAAAGTTCAACGGTTTTAATTGTAATAATATTGTTCGATTATGTTGATTACTTCGTTATTAGGTCAATATTTAGGTCTCTGATAGTCAATACCATTACTCATAAACTTTTAAACATTTTTCAGTACGTATAAAATTAAAATTTTGACTCCCTACATATGGAGCGAGTAAATATTCAACACANCGATCACAAGCTTTTTAATAAACATTATTCAATAATAGTATTGAGACCAAAAAAATTAGTATAATATCACGATCTAATAATGTGACAAGGGTTATGATTCTACTAAAAAAAGTTCAACGGTTTTAATTGTAATAATATTGTTCGATTATGTTGATTACTTCGTTATTAGGTCAATATTTAGGTCTCTGATAGTCAATACCATTACTCATAAACTTTTAAACATTTTTCAGTACGTATAAAATTAAAATTTTGACTCCCTACATATGGAGCGAGTAAATATTCAACACAATAGTGATACCATGTCAATACTAACCAATAATAAAATACTAAATTAGCAAGATAAATCCTACTTAAGTAGTTATAGCCCTTACATTCAATATTTTTGTCCAATGGAGCAAACCCATGATTAGGAAGAGACTTTAAGCTAAGTCTGTTGGACCCAGGTGAGTTGTGGCAACATTTTCCTTTTGACAGGTTGTTGAGTTCTTAATAGGAATTAACACGAGTATATCTGTCATTTTGGCAAAGAGTTGTAAACTAGNATACAATAGTGATACCATGTCAATACTAACCAATAATAAAATACTAAATTAGCAAGATAAATCCTACTTGAGTAGTTATAGCCCTTACATTCAATATTTTTGTCCAACGGAGCAAACCCATGATTAGGAAGAGACTTTAAGCTAAGTCTGTTGGACCCAGGTGAGTTGCGGCAACATTTTCCTTTTGACAGGTTGTTGAGTTCTTAATAGGAATTAACACGAGTATATCTGTCATTTTGGCAAAGAGTTGTAAACTAGGGAATATTCTCATGCCTAAATTGTCATTGGTCCAACTCTAAGACTGCCTAAATTAAACTGGGGTTAATTTCTATATAAACTGTGGAAGTCCCACAAATTCTCTCCAACGTCCCTCTCGTACCACGCCCTGCATTTTGCAGGGCATTTTGCAGGGAGAGGCCTTAGCAAGAAGAAGCCTTTTTAGGCATTCCCATTATGACGGAAGAGAATTCATCGATTATCAACACTGTTTCTACCATCGTCGCCACCACAAATGACAACAAGAACCCGATTAACGATGGAGAGAAGAAGAAGAAGAAGAAAAAGAGAGGCACATTCAACCTCCTCAAAGCAGCATTGTTCATGTTCCGCCACGGAACAACCAGAAAGAAAAACTCCGTTCAAGTAGAGGTGGCTTCAAATGGCAATTGGAAGAAAATTGTGGGATCAATGCGGCCCTTGCATCTCCATGACAACCCATCGTCGCCGCCACCACCACCTTCTATCACTGCCACCACCTCTCCCACCGCTGAACAATTTGAGGAGGTGATTCCACCAGACTCCCCCTCTGTCTACTCCGTCTCTGGAGACACCGTGAGCCAGTATGCTTCGGCAAATAATCTCCAAGAGCTTGATGACGATGATGAGGAGGATGATCCTGACCAGGTGTTCGATACAATTGGTGCAGATGAGATGATCGATACCAAAGCTGAGTCCTTCATTGCTCAATTCTACCAACAAATGAGGATTCAAAACTTGGATTCGGTCAATCGTCACAATCTGATGGTCGCAAAGGGGAAGCGTGAAGAGTAAAAACGTGACGTTCGAGTTGTACATGCATAATTACATGCATGTTTGATTATCCTTCAAATATCTCCTATTCTTTGTTATTCAATTATTATGTTAAAATTCATATTAGTCTTNAGCAAATGAGGATTCAAAACTTGGATTCGGTCAATCGTCACAATCTGATGGTCGCAAAGGGGAAGCGTGAAGAGTAAAAACGTCACGTTCGAGTTGGACATGCATAATTACATGCATGTTTGATTATCCTGCAAATATCTCCTATTCTTTGTTATTCAATTATTATGTTAAAATTCATATTAGTCTTGAGGCTGATAAGAAAAGGGACAATTTATGATAAAGTTCTCGTGTTGTTAGATTCCTAGGTGTAGTGTTGCTTGATCTTCTCCTATAAATATATTTCCGGGACAAGGTGACAAATAAAAAGTGGGGTAAATCTCATTTTGCTCCTAAAAAATACAAAAAATTTTAGTTTGCTTCCTAAATGGTTAATTTTTTTTCACATTGTCCCTTTAAAAAAATAAAAATATTGTAATATNTTGTGTTGTTGATTCCTAGGTGTAGTGTTGCTTGATCTTCTCCTAAAAATATATTTCCGGGCCAAGGTGACAAATAAAAAGTGGGGTAAATCTCATTTTGCTCTTAAAAAATACAAAAAATTTTAGTTTGCTTCCTAAATGGTTAATTTTTTTTCACATTGTCCCTTTAAAAAAATAAAAATATTGTAATATGGTTTATTGTCTTATTTTATTTGGTTGTCAGTTTGTTTTGTGTCAAATTAACTAATTAAAAATTACAAAACAGATGGATGACCAAACAAAAATAAGACGGTGGACCACATTTCAACGTTTTTTTATTTTTTGAAGGATAATGTGAAAAAATTAATTATTTAGAGGATAAACTAAAAAAAATTGTATCTTCAAGGAGCAAAGTTGGATTTTTCNTATTTTATTTGGTTGTCAGTTTGTTTTGTGTCAAATTAACCAATTAAAAATTACAAAACAGATGGATGACCAAACAAAAATAAGACGGTGGATCACATTTCAACGTTTTTTATTTTTTGAAGGATAATGTGAAAAAATTAATTATTTAGAGGATAAACTAAAAAAAATTGTATCTTCAAGGAGCAAAGTTGGATTTTTCCTAAAAAGAGAGAAAGTTAGGAAGTTGGGAAGAACTAGAAAAGGATTAAACATGAAAAACAAAAAATTGTTTTCATTTGTTTTTGTGTGTTTGGGGCTGGGGGGAGTTATTCAGGTTGGCTTTCAAGTTTAGGGTTGTAGATTTTCTTTCCTTTATGTAGCAGTTTTTTCTGCAATAACTTAAAGTAAGAGTAATCCTATTTGGACTTAAAAATTTGATCTAATTTATTGACATAATGATGTGGTTTTAGTGAAACTATTGGATCAATACCAAATTCTAATATTTGATAGAATCTACGGTCAATCCAAAAGTCATAGTNATTTGATCTAATTTATTAACATAATGATGTGGTTTTAGTGAAACTATTGGATCAATACCAAATTCTAATATTTGATAGAATCTATGGTCAATCCAAAAGTCATAGTGAATTAGGTCAGTAAATTAGTATACGTAGAAAATTATGATTCATGTATCCGATCTCAAATATTTAGAATAAGGCGTTTTTGTGTTAAATTAAATTGAAATAGTACCCACATGCATAATGAATGCAATTTGATGAGCTCAGATTTTATTGGAAATCGAGAAAGCCCAAAGAAGCGTCCATTGTCGACCCATCGAGGAGGACACCAAGAGGACATCACCAAAAGCCAATAGTCGAAGGAGGAGGAGGACAAGGGAACCCTTGGGCGCCCCCTCCTCTTGATCCTCCTCACCTTGGTACTCCATGTCCAGGTCCAAGCCAAGCCTACTTAAAACAAGTCCAGGTCCAGGTCCAAGCCAAATCTACTCAAGACAAGTCCAGGTTCAGGTCCAGGTCCAAGACAAGTCCAGGTCTAGGTCCAGGTCCAACTAATGTTCTCCTCCGAATGAATAGGAGCGCGAGGGAAGATAATATGGAGATAGATATCGAAGATCTCCTACTATAGCAATACTTGCCAAAACAATAGAATTCTTCTCCCTCACATCACTGCCTCTACTACCTTACCCTAGCTATATAATATAAGCCCTCTCAACATGAAGGGCCTGGAACGCCTCCAAGGACCTTCTTGAGACCTCTACACCTTGAAGCCTCCAAAATCTCTCCGCACTTATCTCTCTCTCTCTCTAAAAAGCACTAAAACTCTCCGGAGACCATGATTCATCAATAAAGAACACCAGGCCACCGCTGCCATTTCTGAGAGTGGAGTAGGTCACCCGGACCGAACCACTATAAATCCCTGTGTTGATCTATTATTTACTGTTTTACTCTTAATTGCCATTAATTGTTTGTTTATCACTCATTAATTGCACCCTTACACATACTTGATTGTCGATCTTGCACGAAGACAGTTTTGTGCATAATCAATTTGACGCCATCTGTGGGAGACGACTAATTTTCCTACTCACTCAGTCCATGGCAATCACTACCCGATCGATGAGTCAGCAACCGGGAGACAACAACCCAGCTCATCGGGAGGAGGCTTTGCCACCCACTGCACCTATGGAACCTTCCGCTACTACTACTCCCGCCGCTGGACAACAGCAACAACTCCTCCAGACCATGAAGCTGCTGGTGAACCAAAACCAGCAAATCATCCAACTCATGCTCTCCCATGAAGGCATCGCCCATAACCCCGCAAGAGGAGTCCCACTCCCTCCAACAGGAGAGGAGCCGCTACCTGTCCTTTCTAGGCGCCAAGTCTCTCGCCAGAATGTTCTAGGGCCACGTCAAGGAGCCCCTCGTCAAGCGATCCCTCCTCAACACGCAGGGAGCACACATGTTCCCCTTTCACACGTGCCTGTGCAGGAGGACGAAGGAGAAAGTCAATATGGAGACCATGAGAGCCAATACCATCACCCGATCAAAGATGTTCTCAACCAGTGGGACGAGAAGATCAGGGAAGTGTAGGACTAGCTTGGTAATGCCCTCAACGCTATCAAGGCCCAGGCGCCTAAAACCGTGGACTATCTGGTAAGGCGCGTTGATACTCATTTTGTTACTGACATTGTTAATTACTCGTTGCCTTCGAAGTTCAAGATGCCCACCATTGAGATCTTTGATGACACCAAAGACCCCCTCAACCACTTAGACACCTACAAATCCCTCATGCAACTACACAACATGCCTAAGGAGATTATGTGTAGAGCCTTCCCTACCACCCTCAAGGGGCCCGCACGTCAATGGTTTACAAAGATCAAGCCCTCCTCCATCCACTCCTTCGTAGAACTCAGCAGGTCCTTCGTCTCCCACTTCATTGGGGGACGCCGACATCAGAGACCAGTGACCCACCTGCTCACCATCAAGCAGGACAAGGATGAAAGCCTGCGAGACTACCTTGCCCACTTCAACGACGAGGCTCTCCAGATTGAGGAGCCAGATGATAAGGTATCTCTTGCCACCTTTATTGCCGGCCTCCGCACCTCTAGTTTCATGTTCTCTGTCCTCAAGAAGCCGCCCTCCAGCATGCTCGAGCTGCTGTCAAGGGCACAGAAATACATGAATGCTGAGGACGTCACCAAGGCCCGTCGAGGTGAGTTCTCCCAAGGAGGGGAGAAGAAGAAAGACACCCGTGAAGACAAGTGGGAGGCGAAGAACAAGAGAAAGAGAACCGAAAGAGTTTCTGTGAAGGACCGTCTCGGTCCGTACCCCCCGAGAGACCAACAACCTTTCACGCCACTCAATGCCTCGGTGGAGCACATCCTATTCCAGATACTGGATGACCCCACGCTTCGTTGGCCAGGAAAAATGAAGTTTGCCCCAAATCGTAGAAATCACATCAGGTACTGTCGCTTCCATCGCGATCATGGCCACGACACAGATGACTGCAATGAGCTCAAGAGGCAGATAGAGGAGCTCATACAGCGTGGTCAGTTGAGGCAATACGTTGTTGGCAGAGGACAAGCCCTGCCACTTGGTCGTTACCAGGACGACAGAGAACACCAACAACCCCTCGGAGAAATTCAGACAATCTCTTGAGGGCTACAACTCCGCCAAGGAAACATCGGCTCACCGTGCTTGAAGATTTTATTTATCTTTTATAATTTAAGTTGATTTATTTTGTTATTTATTATTTTATAAAATTTTGCAAGATTAAGGTTTTCATAATTGTCTTGTTTTCATCTCAAACAGACTACGACCTATCAACAACAAGATAGACAAAAAGTCAAAAGGCGTCAAGATGAGGGTCTCGCCCTCTCCACCTTCGGCGCCCCCATGACGTCTCGCCTTCTCCACCTTGGCGCCTCCTTCGATGTCGCCTAGACGATGGGTCTCACCCTTTCTCACCAGGCGACCTAGACGATGGGTTTTACACCTTCTCACCAGGCAGGCCCAGATGATGGGTCTCACCCCCTCTCACCAGGGGCCCAGCTTCAGGTGCCCAACACCAGACACCAGGCACCAAGCTCATCAGCACCCTCATCATCTCTATCTCAATGGAATGAGCCTCAGGCGCCTAGCTCCTCAACACCCTCCTCATTTCCATCTCAGTGGAATGAGCCTCAGGCGCCCTGCTCCTCAAAGCCCTCTTCATCTCCATCTCAATGGAATGAGAGAGCCCTCCTCATCTCCATCTAAATGGAATGAGTCTCTGCCACGACAACCCTCTTCTAAGCTATACGTAGTTCTACCTCTACTCCCGAACAACCTCAATCACTAGCTTAGCGCCTCATTCATGAGCCAACCCCAATTGCTCCGCGGCATTCTCTCGTGTCTGTCGCCCGAGCTCAACTTGCTCTAAGGCATCCTCTCGTGCTTACCGCTCGAGCCCTACTGCTCCGTGGCATCCTTTCGTGCCTGCCACCTAAGGCTGTCGCCCAAGCCCTACTTGCTTTGCGGCATCCTCTCGTGCCTGTCACTCAAGCCATACTTGCTCTTCAGCAACCCC